CGTAGAATTTGGCATTGGAAAAGATGATTGTCCAACTTTTAAGATAACTTTAACTGCAAAATAACATATTTAAGATACTATTTATTTATTCTTTGAAAATTTTTATGCATGTATGCATGTATCTTGGGCATATCCATGGCTGTAGTTGTGGCCAAATAGTTCAAGTGACAGACAAGGAAATAGTGTAGCTTTACGAAGAGTGTTGGTCTTTATGGAATACATTGCTGTCAGCCAACACCGGTGTTCTATGTAGTAATCGAAAGAGAGTAATAAGAATTTCTATGTCTTCAACATTAGTCTTTTTTTCTGTGATAGGACTCTCAAATGTCTCCTCCAGTCATTTAAAGACATCAGGTAAGAAGCGTTATCTAAGAGTTGCCCCGTGGCACTACAACAAACCAGAATGAATTCTCCCCCTCCCTGTTTTGGTGGCCTCAAATCTCCTGTCATTCTTAATCTTTATTGTTTCTCAAGAAAGAAGTGTGAGTGCTTAAGGATGTGTAAGTCACTACTATTATGTTACCACTCAGCTTTAGCCCATGAGTGGCTGACATAAGATGCAAATACTTTGGTGCTGAGGTATTTCTGGGTGGAACCGTGTGCCTTCATCATTATGTAGAGGGTCCAACAGGTGGGAAGTGTTCAGAGGAAACAGGAGTGGCCTTGAGTTGGTAAATGCAGATAATAAGTAGTATGTATTATCAGAGCAATGCCCACGCTATCACAACACCTTCTAATTTGTACATGTTTGGAACTTTTTCCTGAAGTGTACTATGAAGGGACACACTCTTTTCTTAGACACAAACACAGCCCTTCTGTGTTTTATATCCTGCGTCTGACTAGGCTTTACCATCTTTCCAGCTTCCCACTGAAACAACACTGTGTCTGCCTTGCCTTACTGGGCTATCCTCCTAAGTGAATCTCTGGTTTTTAATCTTGTCCATCCCCCCAATTTAATCTGTACATATAGCTGGAGTGATGTTTTAAAGCACAGTAGTGATCATCTTTGACTTCTTAGGTCCAATTTCCTTGTAATTAAATCTGCGTCTTTGCTAAGCTATTTATGTCTTCGTCAAAGATCCCAATATTCTGTCCCCGAATGTTACCCAGAATGCTTTACCACAGCCTTCCCTCTCTTCAGTCAGATCTCTGTTTCAACATCATTCCTTCTACAGGCCACACCTAGCTACCCAATCTAAATGACCCTCTAGAAATATACACATGAGTGCCCACAGATACCTTCCTTAGCTTTATTTTTCTTAATAACACTCATTACAAGCAGATATTACAACTTCACCTGTTTTCTGATTATTTGTCCTTGACCGAAGCTCAAGGAATTATTTGTGCTTTCCCAGATCTTCACAATAGTAGGTATATGTACTAAGACTTCACTAGATATTTATTTACCAAAGGAATAATTGGCATTGTCCCCAGTAGGTTAAATTTGCAGTTTGAAAAATTGCAGAGAGTGGAGCATTCTCGGGCAGGCAATTTCTCATGTCTAGAAGAGGTCTCTTTTATAAACAGAGCCCTTGATAATCCCTGACAGTGCTTTCCTACTGACTGGGAGAGAGGGACGTGAAGAGGATAATGGATGTCAGAGTGCATGCTAATGTAAACACACTCAGTGCTTATGTTACTAATAACTGGCATGCTGATGAGAAAGGGCTTATAGGTCTCCTGAACAGGATACACTTTGTGTTTAACAGGCGTATTCTCCACGAGGCAATGCCATTTGTGTAAGCAAACAGGGTCATGAATAGGTTACTGCTTTGAAACTCGTCTCCCCTGATTGATGAGGCCTGGTATTTCAAGGTGTGTCCTACTATCCCTAGAACCATCATGGATGTAAGAGGTGGTGGCCCAGATTGCTATGGTAGAACGCCTAATTGTCAGACAATTGAGTTCTTTGTAATTTCCATTTTGAAGCAGGAAATGAAAACATACGTAGACTTTTTAGAACAGACTCAGAATGAAACTTAAGTGTTAAAAGGATGAATCACTAATTGCTAATTATGGTATAAAGCAAAAGGTGCACTCAGGTAAGAAAGTAGAAATGCCGTTTCCAACAGGGAGCAGGGTTGCCTTAAATGTCAATATTCTTAGGCTGAGCCATGCTACAACCAGGTCTACTTTGTGCCTTTTCCCAGTTCTTCTCTGGAGGTTTCTTTGGTTGTCATGGGCAATTTTCCATGCTGCAAGGTGAATGGAAACCTCTCTTGGAGCATGAGTCACTCTTCCCACCCAACAAACTTGCTACTTTCTTGCCCCTTTGAGTCTGAAAGAAGTGAAGTCTACCTTATAAGGTAGGAATCAGTCAGTTACCTAGTGACTTCTCATCTCAGGTTTTTATAGATCAAGCAGATGCAGAGACAGTGTCAAGCAAACTCCAATGAGTTTAAGGCCAGAATGGTAGGCTCTAACTCATGACACTTACAGACACTTCTCTTCTTAGCTTCCTTGATTTTTGGGGTCTACTGGGCTTCTGTCTTCCACTTCTTGCTACTGCTCATACAGCAGAATGGGAGCCTGTAGGTTTCTATGATGCCTCAACATCCGTTAACAAAACAAGCCCATCAGTACTTGTATCCACGCTCCATCTCTACACCCACATCCCTTGCATGGGTCCCCACTTGTGAATATTGAACCCAAACTGCTACCTTCTTTGATAGTAAAGCAATAGTCCAGTGTCTCCACAAATAAGATGTGAGACTTCCTGATGAGTTATCACTCCAAAGACTGCCTCTTGTTGGGTCTCCTCTGGTGTCCTTAACCATCTGCCAGGGTTGTCCTTCACTCTCCAGGTGCTGGCCTCTGCTGTTCACTGGCATGAGGTAGTTGTTCAGGAGCCTTCCTGCCTGCCCTTCCCTCCTTCCCTCCTTTCCTGGAAGGCCAGTTGTAATACTCAGCACTTAAAAAACCTTTGGAGAAAGGCATCCTTGTAGGCACATGAATTACATAACAAAAAGCATCCCCTCTGGAATGACCCAAAGGCACCTATGCCTGGGCAGCTTTCAAACACAAGGCTCAGCTAACAGTCTTGGCTAATCTAACTTGCATATCCTCAGCTGGTACCTAACACATCCAAGCACACCTCTTGCTCTGCTTTATAAACTACTGAATAGCCATCCAACCACATATCTAGCTCTGCTTTATAAATGGCTCAGGAGCGACCAGGGCCTGCACAGTGATGGCCTTTGCTGGTCTAGAGAGTGTTGCTCATTGTCCTGTACTAATTTTGACCTTGAATTATGTCTTGGATCCTTGCTCTCCCTGTCTTCCAGTTTCTAGCTAATCTCTCATGAGCTCTCATATTTAACCCAATAGCAGGGGAGAAAAGTAAAAGTAACACTATATCCTAAAATAACTTAGAATAGTACTAATTATATAACATCTCCCCATTCATTCTCTCAAATACTTAGATGAAAGAAAGTGCTAGTATTTTCAGCAAAGTTTACCACCTGGCTGACAATGCTTTTGTCTCTGCCAGCCTCTGATCAGTTAGAGCTCTCTCTGTCTCTCTCTGTCTCTCTCTGTCTCTGTCTCTGTCTCTGTCTCTCCCTCCTTCCCTCCCTCCCTCCTTCTCTCTCTCTCTCACTCTCTCTCCTCTCCCCCCCCTCTCTCTCATGTGTGTGTGTGTGTGTGTTTACTGCATCCCTTCCCCCCAGTGCTCCTTTTGGGCCACAGCTGCAAAGATTCAAGAATGGAGTTTCCTAATATGATTTTTATTTCAGACTTGAGCCACATTTGTTATTCCAGATCTCACTCAGAATAGAATGAATGTATAAAGCTTCTCTAAATAAGCAGCTAGAGAGACAACTAGAGAGGAGGGCATAAGAACGGAAAGTTAAGACAAGAAGAGCCTGGCATCCTAGCTCTGCCAAAAAGGCAGCTATAGACAGGAAGATCCATCAGGGACAAAGACAGAGAATAGAGGTGGGATTTGAAAAAGTTGAACCACATGGCACTGAGCTTTTGAAGAGTAGCCAAAGGGAATATAGTTTTTCTTGAAATTATAGGCTATGAAATTTTAATGTAATATGCAAACTTCTATTATATATATGTATGTATATATGTGTATATATGTATATATATTATATATAAGGCATATACATATGTGTATATATACATACAAATACCATATAAGTCATGAATTTTTTCTTGTCTCTCAAGAGTGAAAGACATACCTTTACTCATAAACATATACATGAATATATGCACATATATGTTTGTGCATGTGTGAATGTGTTTACAATCTAAACTGGCAAGCCACTGAAGCCTCACATATTACTTTGTGGAAATGAAAGTATTTTTTCTGAGAGGACCCTTAGTAGATGATCAGGGGAGGATCCTTTCTTTTTACAGCCAAATGTTTATATGACAATTTCAGTACAGAGCTCACGAGACCTTCAGAGAAATTTTATAGCCATCAGATATGTAGCACACAGCACACATACATACTCATATCAAAATGCACGCATAGCTGGAGATGACAAATGCATACATACATAAATGTAAAACAGTGGTAGAGCTTGAGCAAGATGCCTGCCCAGTGTTCTTTAGTTTAAAACACATTCAACTCCTTTGAGACCCCTCTGTGCTAAGATCAAAGCCTGATTTGTTTTGCCTTTTTTAGTCACACACACAAAAAAAGGCTTACTAAATAGCAGCCATTTCTCTGGGGTGCCTTTCTTCTCTGGGGTACTGTGGAAGAAGTAGGAAAAGTTTCAGAGAAAGCTTATCTGCATTCTTAAACCCCAGCTGGGGATGGATTCTCTGAGTGTGAAGAAATGAGCTTGAACCTGTTAATTGTGTTAGTATTCTCAGGCTTCCTCTTGTGTTCCCCTGGATAACTTTCTCTCACTTTACTCACTGGCCCAGGAGGAAGGATGGCTGGTACCTACAGTTTCCTTGAGTTTTTCTCTCCTTGCTGCATAGGATACATAAAGATTTAGCATTATTTTCTAGGCAATGTGGTAGTCACAGAGTGGCTTACTTACTTGTGTTTATCTTCTGGAGTGAAATGTGCTTTTCCAGTTGTCTTCGGAGTTTCACCTCTGCTCCGTATTTTCCTGTGGTCCCATTGTCAGCCAGGATGAAATGGGAGTGCATGCTATTGAGAACCGTGAGCTTGCTCATCGGGTTGGACATGGTCTGGTATGGTCGGACTACCTACAGGCAGCAAGAGGAAGGCAGAGTCAGAACGGAGGAAACAGGATGTGAGACAGAGGACGAGAGACATTAAAAGAAGGCATGGTGGTTCTCAGGTAGGGAGACTATGCTTAAGGAACCAGCCCTTACCAAATCTGAGCTTATACCTTCATTGTACTAAAGACCTATGTGCTGATGACTGTTTAAGTCAGATTGATATTTTGTTACTGAGCCAAACATAATTTTTTACATTTAACTAAGATAGTTTCTTTTTTCTTCACTTTACATCCCAATATCAGGCCCCTTCTCCTCCCAGTCCCTATCTCACATGACTCCTCTCCCCGAGCTTCTCCCTCCAAACTCCTCCTCTGGAGGCACAAGAGGGAGGCACCCCTCGGTATCATCTGACCCTGGCATATCAAATCACTGCAGGACTAGGTATAGTCTCTCCCACTGAGGCCAGACCGGTTGGCTCAGTTAGGGGAGTTTGTTGTACCTCACTTAGGAACCAGAAGTTCTGTTACTTAAAACCAACACTATCCTTGATAGACTCCTTAAGTACAAAACAGCTTGAATATAAAATAACAATCTCGTGAGATGAAAATAAGCCAGGCCTAAAACTTTATCTCAGTTGTGTTCTCTCACTCCCATTTCGATTTTTAATTTCAATAATGAATTGCACTCTGTAAAAGTAGAGCAATTTCAATATAATCTTTGACATTATTTTTTGGCTATCAAAGCCATATCCATCATGAACTAGCTGCTTTTCGTATAGCATATGCATTCCATGTCATAATCCTACGCTACACATTATGTTTCATTTTTAGATTGGAAAGTAAAGAAATAGATAGGCAAGTTATCTAAAAATTTAGACAAATAATCAGAACTTATATCCAAGCCCGATTCAAAACTCTGAGATTATTATTATTTTCCCTCTGCTTAGACACACAGTATATTGGCAAACTATTGCTAAAATATCTAGGATGGAGCTTCAGCTGGAAAGGATGAAGAGAAGCCAGCCATTGAGAAGGCTCACTGTTACACAAAATCACTGAAATTGGTAGGACGGAAATAGATGCTACTGAGCTCTTATTTCTGTGCCTTTGTATAGTGCATCCATTAATTATACAGATGAGATACACTTGCCTCTTCCAGCATGTAATAACTCACCATACAATAGAAGGGTAAGATTGAGTCGTGCATTAAACACATTACAGAGTGATTTAGTGAGGGCAGTTTTCAATTGTGAAGCGCTCATGTAAGTCATTTTTTAGACCTTGATCCTGATTCAAAACCCACAGTCTAGTGTGCCTGGAAGATGAAATGCTCTCAGTAAACTGAGCGAATAGGCAAACCTGAGATAGGCATGCTTTTGTTCAAACCTGGAAAGGCATTGGATCCTTTCTTTACAGAATTGTTAGGGAACTGATCTCATTTACGTTTAAAATATGTATATGATTCCGAGCTTTTGAAATGGTTTTCAGTCCTGTTCTATGTGTTCCGGTTTTTAAATATAGCATTGATATGATGCCAACGCAGAGTTTCGTTTCAATTGCTCCTTGTTGATTTTGAAATCCGATAAACTTGATTATTGCCTTTGATAACCCTGTGGGCAGTGGTCAATTGCTGCCTTGTCCAGAAGAGTGAGTGGGATTCTTCCAAAGTGGAGAGGCCCGTATTGCAAAGCCTGTTCTGCACTCCCTAGCGCTGGGTGAAGAATGGGTGGCTTGTGGTTGAAATTCCCATTCGTTGCCACTCATACTTGATCATAAAACATTCATCCTACAGGGGAGTGCATGCTACTAAATATTAATGATTTGCTGAAAGGCTGAGCAGAAAGACTTTCTCCTCCTCTGAAAGTGCCTCTGCACTGCGCATTGGACACAGAAAAATGCTTTGGTTCCTGTGCTGATTTTCAGTGGCAGGTCCTGAGGGGACAGTGCCAAAGGGGTGGGGAGGGCACAGCATCTCTATGAGGGGAAAGGGAGACTGGAGTTTTGGAGATTAAATGATGTGTGACAGTGGACCCTCCTCATTTGTGCTGGTTTCCTGTCTATCTGTCCCCTTCCTTCCTTCCTTCCTTCCTTCCTTCCTTCCTTCCTTCCTTCCTTCCTTCTTTCCTTCTTCCTTCCCTCCCTCCCTTCTTTCCCTTCTCCCTCCCCCCAGTTTAATTCCTTAATCTACTTAAAGACTGTTAGTAAAAGTAAAATTTTCTAATGGGGGGAAAAAGGAATGAAAATCGTTGGGAACTCAACTGAGTAGTTCATCAGAAAATAGAAGGCAATTCTGTTTTCCACCTAGGACTGTCACATCTCTTTCTTCTATTGCCAAATCCTAAGCCCACTGGCGCTTCAGTCTCCAGATGTATGACAACCCTATCTTGTGAAACAGCTCGGCAGTGCCTAGAGGATGCTGGACATCTGCATTGGCCAAGGCAAAACTGTCAAATTTGGATTCCTTCATTATCCGAATCCTTTTTCTTTTGATCTTATGGGTAGCAAGTTATAGTTTGCCGTATTTTGGCAGAGAGGTTGTTTGCTGAACAATAGAGGATAGAAATCTGAAAAACGAGTAAAATTCCCCAGTATGTCTTTCCTCTTTAGGGGAAGCTTTACAGAGTCCTGGAACATCCCCAACGACATAAATCAAGGATGGAATTGCAGTTCTGTCTATGGCTGTTGGAACCTGAATCTCTTAATTTGGAAAAACAGATATGATAAAACTACTGACCTGGGGCGGGGTGGGGGGGGCTGGTTTAGATTACATGTGCAAAGAACCAGGCACCACGCCCAGCTCCAAGCAAGCATTGTAGAATATTAATTCCTTGTCCAGCTCTACTCTGTCTTACCAACTATATGCTTCCAGTTGTAAAACAGCAATCAGAACATAATGTGGGGCAGACCACTCACCTTTGTTTTACCCAAGAAATTTAGATCAATGTAAAGCAAGGGGGAGAAAACCAGCCATCTGCTGACAAAATGTGCAAAGTATGATTTGTCGCATCCTTCCAGGCATCTAAGAAGATGATGGCTTGGCTTGGAACTATTTGTTGATTAACTGAAACTTTGGAAATAACTTCCATCCTTCCGAGAAACATATTTTGGTCTAACTTGCCTACGAGATCCACTTACTATTCCTCATTACAAACATGCCTGCAGTCTTTTTCTATTCAAGTTGCAATCTGTATATATACAAAGGTTTCCTGATTCTTCTTGTGTGTTTTACAAATTGAACAAACACTGCTTTTTCAACAACAGGAATACAAATGAACTTCTCCTTCTGATGGGTTTTGGAGGCAGCACAGCCATTTTCGCTGTTAAGAGCTTATGGGGGAGGGGAGATGGCTGTCTTTGGAGGTGTGTGTTGCTGAGTGTGTTGGTGATGTTGTCACAGTACACTGGGTGACTGTGCATGCTTCTCAGTGGGGACTATGAGAGGCAGGTAAGCCACAAAGCCTCATAGCCTCCACCAGGTAAGGTGTTCACCTTTTCTTCCTAAAAAAACAGGAAAATGGAGGTCACCATACTCCTCCTTGGAAGAACCAGAAAGCAGACACCCATATCATTTCTTGTGTTTCATTTTTGAGATTAAATTCTGAACTGAAGCCAGGTGGTGGTGGCACACACTTTTAATCCCAGAACTTGGGAGGCAGAGGCAGGTGGATTTCTGAGTTCAAGGCTAGCCTGATCTACAGAGTGAGTTCCAGGACAGCCAGGGCTACAGAGAGAAACCCTGTCTCAAAAAAACAAACAAACAAAAAAATCTGAACTGAAGAATGTTGAATAGTGTCCCAAAGGCCTTTTAACTGGTTTTCATGATGAGCAAGTAAATCAACTTAGAAGTGGACTTTAGGACCTTTCTATTCTCTGGCCATCACTGATCACAGTGCATTTAAGTAATGTATTTTTTTCTTATCCCTCAAGAGTGAGAATATACCATTACTCATTAACCCATTGCATACCATTTAGTATTACACTGGGTGTTTGATAGAAATCTGGCCCATGCCTTTATACACCTCAGTTATAAAACAGCATCTCTTTGGAGTGGGAATCTTGCATGGGTTTATACAAGGCATTAGCAGAAAGCATCCTTTATATGTTGGACATAGACTGATACAGTTGTAATCTGTGCACAGGCTTAAATTAGCCATTTACAGTTTGGTCTAGAATAGCTGCTGGAGTTTTTCTATGTATTTCCGGGCATGCCTTGGTCTCATTTAGAAGTATTTCAGGATATCAGCATATAGGGGCTATGGTTTGGTTTATATAGCTACTACCTTGTAACCTTGGGCAGATATCTGAATTCCTTGCTCATTAATTCATAGACTTTTTGAGGAAATGCAGCCTGTGATGGATATGCTGACTTGAGGATATGCATGATCACGTTTCAAGATAATGTCTCCTAATACATAAATGTTTAAGATGTGCTAAGTTTTCTTATCTGTAAAGTACAGGACTTAAAATTTCTGGCAGCTTCTTGTCTCTAATACCTGAGTCTGTCTAAGGTGCACTAAAAGCACACTTCTTAATTCAAGTCAGTGCTGAACAATGACCTAAGATGGGTGTTGGCTACTAAAGTCAAGTCTCACCCTTTCTTATACATCGAAGCCTTTTCCCTCGTCTGGTGCTTTGTGCAGTGCATTGGCAATTTGCTCACCTGAGATCCCTCTTCCTAACAGAATTGAGTTGGGCTAAATTAGATTTCTATGTCATCAATCAGAGGCCCTTTGCAGTTCCAAATCCATTTCTTAGTGACTTGTGTATTGACACGGTCCAGGCAAGCAGCAGAGTAGGGCACACATGGCTTGAATGGTCATCTCCTTCTCCTAAGAGCAATATAGCTTTAATGAAGACCAGAAGAACGTGAGCATTCATTGACTGTGTCTAGCATGCCGTGCATGGTGAGGACAAGATCTCACGGAGTGATGGTCTGTGTTTATTTTATCCAGGGAACTATAAGGCTTTGAGATGTAAGAAGTCTTGGCCAAATGTGTTCCATCAGCTGTGTGTCAATCTGAAGTT